AACCGCCTCTGGTGGTCCACTGGGACGGTAAAATCATGCGAGACAGCACGAACTTAGAGGATCCAAAGTCCAATGTTGACAGAATTGGTGTTAGTGTGACTGGTGTAGATTTGGAGAAAATCTTGGGAATTGTCAAGCTTCCAGCGGGCACTGGGGTAGCACAAGCCAAGGCAACATTCCAGTTGGCCAAAATATGGGATGTTGATAGTGAAATCGTTGGCATGTGCTTTGACACCACAACTTCGAATACGGGCTCCAAAAATGGTGCATGTGTCTTGCTGGAACAACTAATTGGGAGAAACCTTCTATACTTAGCTTGTCGACACCACGTGCATGAAGTGATTATTGGTGAAGTGTTCACAGTTTTGCTTGGCCCAAGCCGTGGCCCAAACATTGCTCTATTTGAACGTTTTCAGCAGTCTTGGCCAACTATTGACCAAATGAACTTTGTTCCACTTGATGATACGCGACTTACAGTTCCACAGCTGCAACAACTCAGAGCAGAATTTGGTCCTTTCTTGCTGTCTTTTCTGTCAGGTCAAACGTCATATCTACCACAAGAGGACTACAAGGAAATGATTGAACTTTGCCTCTTGATATTGGGTTTCACACTACCAAGCCATCCAGCTGGTGGAAAGCCATATCATTTCAGACAGCCGGGTGCCTACCATATGGCAAGATGGATGGCAAAGGTCATATATTGCATGAAGATTTTCCTGTTCAGGAATGAATTCAAACTGACTTCAACTGAGGTGAAAAACCTGTCTGAATTTTGCATTTTTGCAGCTCACATTTATGTACCAGCTTGGATTGCTTGTCCAGTGGCAAGTGATGCACCATTGAATGATTTGATGCTGTTTCAGAGAATAAAAAGATATGCTGAGGTACACAAGATTGTTTCACAAGCAGCTTTGAAGAAATTGCAGAATCACATGTGGTATCTTGGAACAGAAATGGTTCCTCTTTCACTGTTCTCCAGCAAAGTATCTGATGAAGAAAAGAAGTTGATTGCGGAAGCCATGATCCTCAGTGGAGATGATTGGAGTGTCAGGGGAAACAAGTTTCCAGTATCAAAATGTAATGAGTTGGAGAAAAAGCAACTACATGAACTGGTAACATCATCATCAACAGCTGCATTGAAGTCACTTGGACTTGACATAACTACCTTGTCAGGACTTGAGCCCCCGAGTTGGGAAGAAAGTGCTTCATTTCGAAAAACCAAAGCTGTTGTTGCTTCTCTCAAGGTTATCAATGATACTGCCGAGCGCTCTATTGCACTGATGAGTTCTTTAAACCAGTCAATAACAAAGACAGAGTCTGAAATGCAGAAACTCCTCCAAGTTGTTGAGGACAACAGGAAGCGCATTCCAGATTACCGGAAAAGCACCCTGATGGCATATGCCCCTCGGTAGACGTCGCAAGCTTGAAAACTGAAATAAGTTGAACTTTGAACACGTGAACAATAAATGAGCATGCAATAAAAATCTGAACGAACATGTTTAAAAATTGCTGTTAATTTCTTTGATATTAATTTTGATAAATTAAAAATTGTTAATGTGTGACTGATTGTGTCTGCACTGTCTGTGTCATAACCAGTATGTCTTTTTGAAATGAATAGTAATGTATCTATCACATTTTATCATCTTGTGATTCTAGTTTGAAGATTTCAGTCAAAAAAGTGCAGCCGCGGCAAGTTTATCTGTACTGTTAAACTTCACCTCCATTGAGCAACTTGTAAATATCAAAATATAAATGCCAAAATTTGCATAAAAGTTAGTTTCCATCAAAGGAACAAAATGAGATACTGTGCTAGGTTGAATTCAAAAATTTTTTTTTTTGGACATACCTACATAATACCATAATATACCATAATAATAATATGGTATATTATGGCATTTAATATGGTAAATATTAATAATATGGTATTTAATATGGTAATATTGTAAATTAATATGGTAATATATATAAAAAGAAATGATTCAAACTTTGCTAGGTATACCATAATAAGTGAGCTTATGGAAAAGAGCAGCATGCCTGACTTTATCAAAAGTCTTTGATATGTAAAGACCAATAGCTCTTTCCTCATCGTTTTCATGTACAATATAACCATTAGTTATAAAAGTTAACAGTAGAATGAGGGGATTAAAATCTGTATTGATTGTCATAAAGTAAATTGTTAGATGCAAAATGAGTTATTAGAAGTTACTATTATGGAGAATAAATTACTTGTGTATTATACATTTAAAATTGGCAAATCAGTATATTTATAAATCAGTATTTTTTCTACATCTAAATCATAATATTAATACTAGTAAATTAGGGTTACTGCATCACCTGTGTTTAGCAATCATTTATATATATAAATTTTATTTTGTTTGAGAAGTAAAGTGAAGCTGGGGAAAGACAAATAAATATATACATAAACATTGCAGACCAGAGAGCATATTAGGTTTGATGGTCACCAGGGGTGATGGAGTGTTGCCATGGATTTTTCCACTTATCGTTATCATTATAGTAACATGATTTGTTCATAAATGAGTTTCATATGCAGTAACAGTAAAGTTGTCAAATCAATTTTCAAATAAATGAAAATGAGTATGTAAAATTAAATTGCGTTCCAAATTTTATGTAAAAAATCTTTTTAATTTGCTGGATAATCATTTAAACTAAATTTTAAAAAAAGTTACTGTTACAAATTTAGTTTACTAGACTACAAATTGAACTATTTCAATAAAATAAAACATCGCAGCGTCTCTCCGTTAATGGAAATTGTTTAGATGTTAATCTTTGTTTATATAATAATATTTGTTAAATAAAAATACCAAATATATTATGTATATTATGTATGTTATAACAGTTTCTAAAGTGATTCGGTTTGTTAATAAGTGCTAGATCTAGGTCGCTATCAGAAGTCACCACCTGAATACAAGATATGATAATAATATTGACTCTCCCTATGTCATATGTGTTTATTGTAAACAAAATTTATATCTTCTCAAGATAGGCCATACTTTTAGAGGGATCATTGGTATTTTTAATTGCTTAGGTATTTTATATACTAATACTTAGTGTTTAATACTATATGTTTTATACTCTTACTTTAGTAAAGTATAAATAATAAAGGACCATCCATATAGACCACCTCTACAAAAAAAAATTAAACTTTTTTGCATAGCATTGACATAGTATACATTTAAACATATTGTTTTTATGTTTAAATATATTATATTTTAATGTTATGTAAAAAATTTAAGCTTTTTTACATAAGATTGAAATACTATACATTTAAACTTTATTATAGACTATATGGACTGTTTTTTATTCCTGCTCATTTAACTATTAGCAATAAATACAACAAATCATTATATATTATATATATTTCGATATATAACATAACTAATCATATTATTACAATCAAATCTCTTTTCATAGTTAATTTTCAGTCTGAAATGCTTTAGATTGGGCCAAAAAAAGGCAATCTTCAGGTCCATGTTTCAGTATTAGTATTCCAACATTTAGTGAACCAAAAGTATCTGAAAATGTATGCAGTATTTGTTTTCTTGTTATTAGACATGACATTTTTTATCAGTGCACACAAGCTGCTGCTGTTGACAACTTGATTGGCCACTATTTATAATTAGGAGAATAGTCAGAACAATTAGCCAGTGCTATAATTGAAAAAAAAAAAAAGAGAGCAAAGGTATAGAAAAACAGACATTTTCCAACCTAAAAACACCTAAAGAACACCTAAAGAACACCTAAAGAACACCTAAAGAACACTTAAAGAACACTTAAAGAACACCTATCTCTAGAGTTAAAGCTCCTAAATCTAAAGAGTAACCCGGTAAGTATGGTAAAGGCTTCCTAAAATTTTTTGTAAATGTTTTTAAAGAAGAAAAAGAATCTGAAAATAAACTTAAAAATAGCGAAGTTAAAAATGTTCTTGTTATAGCAATTGTTGCGGATATTCCTGAAAAATATATAATCTTTCGATTAAAAAAACTTAAGAATTATTCGCTTGAGAAACTTAAGCTTAAAGATTTAAACTTTTATTTTTTAGCTCTTTGATCTTAAATGTGCTAATGTATTACTTGGGCTTTTTTTTAAACTTAACATTGCAACATATGAGAACTGCTATGTATATCTACATCATAAATTTTTAGTACAATAATGGAATCTACACATCAAAAAGGATTTTAGTTATTTCATAACAGAATTCAAAGAGTTTTTTTTTTAAATTAAAATAATAAGATAAATTAAACAACTAGTAATTTTATATAAATCTTAGAGAGAAATCTCCTGATAATATGCTAGAGTATTATCAGGAATTTTACCCAAATCTTGATTCTATTATTTAAATCTTGATGCTTGAAAATTATCAGAAATTTTATATAAACCTTGGTTTATTTTATATAAACCTTGATTATGAATAATTTAGTCTAAATCTCAGTGCTTTGTACTTATCAATGTTTTAATAAGAATTTGATTAGAAAAATATAGTTTTAAAATTTGGGTTCCAAAATATAACATCAAACAAAAAAAAAAAAAAAATGATTAAAACATTTAAAAGTTTTCACTTTTATTTGTTTTAAATATTTTTTGATCAATATATTCATATATTTATTAATTTTATCTAATAATTGTTTATGTGAAAATAGCTATGTATAAAGTTAAATTAGTTTTTAATGCTCCACTTCCTTATCCAGTAGAAATATCCTTTAAATTATAAAACACTGACTTTAAGTTATAAAGCATATCTTATATCAACCAATCTACAGGTAACCTCTAGCTACTAATTTGTCATTTTCTTATTTTTCATATAGTAATTTAGATTTAGAACCTTAGCATAAATTAGGTAAAAATGGTTTAATAAAATATTAGTCATATACTTATATATCATATAAGTGTCATATAAGTATTGTAGTATATTATACTTAAATCAATAATGAAATATTAAAATAAAAAAAAATATTTTAATAATTTTTTATATGATTTTTCAGTACTAATGATGGATTGACATTTGAAAACATCGACCATCTTATTGGAAAAACAGAAATTCGAAGCAAAATGGGAATTATGAAAAGTCCTCTAAATAGTAACATGGTAACTTTTTTGTTTTTCTTATTTATTCTGTCTTCTTTTTCTAAACTAAAATTTCCTGAGAAGTATATATTTAAAAAACATTTTAGCTGATAATAAGTTTACTGTTATTGTTATTGCATCCATGTGACCAAACCAACAGTATATACCTACTTAAGAATATTAAGAATCTTTATTGAAATTTGTTCAGAAAAAAATACTTATATAATATGGAGGAAAAGTTTATTTTATTTGATTTGGTACTTATGGTATGGTATTTACAAGTCACATGCATTATTATTGGTTTACATTATGAGAGAAGAGAGTGAGAAAAAGTTACTTAATTGTCATGTGTTGCTTTTAAAGACAATTTATATTATGTTTATATTAGGAAATAATGAACCATTAAATCTTGTATTTTATTTTTTGTAAAATTATTTCAGCTGATTTTAATTTCGTATGCATCAACCAACATGTTTTCTATGTTCTTAAGTCTACAAACCACATCCACACTTGTCATTACAAAAGATGCTGGAACAACCTTCAAATTAATCAATATCCCATTTACAATAAAAGAAGGTTCACCAATTTTATTTCATCCTACTAAAGAAGATTGGCTTATGGCACTGGACTCAAAGGTTTTTTTAATAAAAAAATAATTTTATATAAAACAAAAAGCTCAGACTATGCTTGGGGAAAATAGTAATGTGAATGAGTATTGTGCTTGTCAGTTGACATTGTTCAGTTGCATAATTATTTTTTGTAAAAAATTTCCTACTTTACCTAAACATATGTTTACTAGCTGTGAGTATGTTATTAATGCATAAATAGTAACATAATTAATCGATTGATTATATCATCATTTACGCATTAATACTAAATTTACAGCTAGTAAGTTTTCATGAGCTGCCTACTTTTAAAATTTTTGATAGGTTAAATGAATATATAAATCAATTTAATTAATTTAATTGAGTTAATTGAATTAATAAATAATGTTAATATGTAAGATTTATGAATTATTTAAAGGTTCTTAAAAGACTATTGAGTAATGTAATAATATAAAAATATATTATTTTATATTTGTGATATAATAACATAATATAAATGTGAACTTTGGTACTGCTTACCAACAAATGGTTTTTGTTTTTGATAGATTGCATTATTCATATCACAATAAAATGTTAATGTAATTATAATTTTAAAATGTTAACATCTTGGAAAAGTTTGTTCTGTAAAAAATTTAAATCTGCCAAGGACTGTCCATAATGTCAGTGATTTTTCTAAGTATTTGACTCTTACTTCCCCTTTGTTAAGTTGTGTTAATTTTTAGCTGAGACACTCCCTTTTAAATAATGTCAGTTTTCTTATTCAACCTCTCCCCCCTTCCCCCCATCATCAAATAAAAATAAAAATGCATATATAAACCAATGATTTTTTTCTGGCTTATTTATTCACTTATTCTCAACAGTACTCAATTAAAGTTAAAAAATATTTTAGAGAAATAAGCAAAGTTGTTTCTGAATTTAAATTGTGTTTTTGATGATTGTTGATAGTTTACCTAAAGTTATCAAAGGAAGGATTAAGAGAAGTTGATCTTATCAAATAATAACTATAAAAATATTATTCTATATCTATTAACTCACTAATTAACTTACTAATTAACTCAATAATTGGACCACTCATTATTTTTACAGAGGTAGTTGAAGTAATCCTCAATTAAAACAATAAGTAGTGAATGTTCTCCATAAACTTAAAGATTATCTTCCACTTAAAGTATATTCAATTGCATCAACTTTTATCTAGCCATTCAGTTTCTGAGCTTTTCTGCAGGACAGAAAAGTTAAGGGCAAGTTTCACTCTGAGGCATGGTAGCAATGTGTTAAGGAATACAATGTGCCAAAGAAGCACAGTGAAAAATTTAAAATCATTAAAGCAACTTGAGGAAAAATATTTTAAATGCTTGGTGTGATGAGCATAAATGGAGATTTTGAAAATAACTATTTAGCTCCTTCTTAGACATCTACTTTAAAACCATCTCTTGTTTGGGTCTACAGGACAGGTAGCAAAAGTATCTTGTTCAAATTAAAGTATGAGCTTCTTTTAATCAGACTACAAGAATGATTGTTTAAACATTTCATGATTTGAGTGAAATATTGACTCAACAGACAATCCACTGTTGACCTTTATGTAAAAGGTTTCTTTTTACTAGCTCTGATTGCTCTGGATCAAAACACCCTGCAGCTGTGAGATAACTATAAATTTGTTAGATATCTCTTTTATATATCTATTATATCTGAATTTTTGTCCAGGAAAAACAAAGTTCTGCATTTCTAAACCATCATCTATTGTCCGGTGTAATGTTTATAATTACCTTGAGAATCAAGATGAGGTCCGTTATGCTTGCGTGAAATAATCAGCCTAATTATTTCTTTACTTAGAGGTGCTGTTTGTTGCTCTGCTAGATTAAATACACTGCAGCTTAGAGCATTTAGCATGATGAAAAGAGTGTCAAGGTTATTTATCATAAAATGGTAAAGTATGATTTCAATTACTTTCTGGTATCTGGGACTTTTGTCAGGTCCTCCATTGGCACTAACCACAACAATAGGCTTAACTATATATATATATTTTTTTTAAGTTGATTATGGTGCCCCAAGAAGTCCTTACAGTCTTATCACAGGGCACCGCAGAAGAGCATTTAATAGGAAGTTCACGCCTCCTTCCCAACCGATGTCGCAAAACTTGCCCAGAGGTGGGGTTTGAACCACGGATCTTACGTTTCTCAAGCAAGTGCGCTACCACTGCGCCACGGCTGCCACGCTATTGCTGCCCGCTATATACTGCCATATTAGTTTGAGAATCTCTGGTAATGGAGTTTTTTTACCTTTTCAATAAATCACTTTACTTTATCAGAATGCATGATGACAAATTTAACTGATAATAAGATAAGTTATTAATTTAAGAACAGTCAAATTATTTGCTCACTTTTTATTTGCTTTAAAAGTTTTTCACTTTATTTTTAAGCTTAAAAAATATCTTAATTATAATAACAATAAATTAAAATATAATAAATAAATTTTTATTCAAATAATTGTATGTGTGAATAGACAATGTTGTGAACAGCTTAAAGTATGTCTTAGAAATTCTTTTAAGAAGATGATAGAAGATGAAGTTTTAACATAACATAATTAAGTAAAAAACCTTTGAGAGACCAAGTTAAACAGACCGACTAAATGAATGTTTAATTTAAGCATAGTAAAACAAATGTTCTTGCTTTAAAGGGGCTAAAGAAAACAGTTCGAGATAGCACATATTTGAGTTAAACAGTGTTCAACTTATTCAGAACTAACTGTATATATACAGTCGTAAGATTAATTGTAATGATAATTTAGGAAACTAAGTTCATGTATTCTAAGTTTGTTAGTATACACTTGTTATATGTACACATATACTTATCGTATGTACACATATACTTATTGTATTTTATAACCAAAAATTAATTATAACTCTAATTTAATGTTGTTAAACTTCACATGATTTCCCTTGTTTAAATTACCAGATGATGTTATATTTTTTCAATTCAAAGTTTAAAAAGTGTTTTTTTTAAAAAAAATAGCCACTTAATACTAAAAACAAGAAGCTTTGTAAGCTTTATAACTTTTTAAGTTTTAGATTACTCTTATTGTGAAGGTTTGTGACAAGGTGTTTCCACACTCCATCACAAACACATCACTGGCGTAATCAGCAATATTCACATCACAAAGCTCCATGCATAGTCAGATGATAAATAACTAAAACAATAATGAATTACATCATAGATTTTTTTATATTGTTTTTTTTTTTAAATGTTTTTTAGAAAATTATTCAAAGATTTAATTTTTTTAAATTACATTTTTGTTACATCTTTTTTTCTTCTTGAAATTCAACTTAAAAAATATATAAAGTCAAGCAATTTAAAAAAAGTTTCAAGTTATTTCAGAAAGACTATTTAACTTATAAAAGTAATAAGAAAACACTTAATTTTAAACTACAAAAATAATATATATAAAAGTTAGCTCATCAATTTATATCTTTCAAAATTACTTAGTTTCAAAAAAGTTTTTTTTCTGGTAAATACTAGTAAATAGATGTTTCTTTAAAGGGATCCCTAACTGCCAAGACAAGTTGTGTTCATATTAAAGAAAATATTTAAAAAAATATTTGGGCTAAATTTTTTTGATTAAAAGTTTATAATGAATGCAGACCATTAAATTTAAAATTCACATTTTAGTCGAAGCTCTCCGTCTCCATTTTTTTTGGTTTTCGGAGTCTGTATAATGTTAGCTGCAATCTGCAGACTTGATAATTTATTCCATGCGTGTTAATTCATAACAGTTTGGTATATCATCGTATAAATTTTTTATTTCTAGATGTCGTATTATTTTTTTGCCAAAATCACCAAATCATGTTAATTGTATAACTTTTTACTAAATCCGAAAAAAGTTTATGATGCAATTAAAAATTAAATTTATAAAAATAAAAATTCAATAACAACGAATATTTACAGTAAAACGTAATGGTTTAAACTAAATATAAACTAGATACTAAAAGAATAATTTTACTAAAAGAACAATTAATATGTTAAATACTAAAGCATATAAATTAATTTAAAGTATGAGCTGAAAAAAAAAACGAGTGACTTGAATAAAACATATAAACTGAACTAAGTAGAAAATAAATATTAAATGACTTATTTTACTAATAAACGTTCAAATCAAACTAAGTTAAAGTCAAAACAAATATTTGTACTAAAATATACAAGAAATAGTTATAATATAAATATAAAAACAAAGAATCACATTAAATTGTTCGCTACCAAACAAAATCTTTTAACAAAAATCTTTTTGTAGCAATGGCACATTTTTTTGAATAACAATTGAATAGCATAACATTGACAATTAATTAAAAGTCGATAATAATAAAGTTTTTAACTTCATTAAACAATAAAAAGTGCAAAGTGCTTAAAACTTATAGAACGTATTAATTGTTCTTTTTAGTAATTAGGTTCTTGTAAGTAATAACTAAAACATTAAGTCCAAAACAAACCTCATTTAATGAATAAAAGTAATATTTTTTTTTCAAAATACTTTGGTTATTATACATCAACGTAAATTCTAACCACCCTCCTAGTATAATAAAATCCATACTAACTATGATATCTAACCGTATAAGCAATATTTCATCTAGCAAAGAAGTTTTCAATAGAGCAACATCGTTTTATAACAATGCGTTAGCAGCAAGTGGGTTCAATGAAAAGATTATTTTCCAAAATAATCTCGCCCCAGCAAAACCAAAATCAAGATCACGAAACATTATTTGGTTTAATCCTCCGTTTTCGTAAAATGGAAAAACCAACGTCGCAAAAATTTTTCTAAATCTAATTGAAAAGTATTTTCCAAAAACACATAAGTTTTGCAAAATTTTTAATAGGAATAATTTAAAAGTCAGTTATAGCTGTCTTCCAAACTTCACCAATATTATTAACTCACACTATAAAAAAGTATTATCTAATGTTTCCAAAACAATTGTTTCAACGTCTTAGTAAAAATATAATTTACGTCTGCAATGGAAAAAAACATCACCACAGGATAGTGGTTTA